CGGTAGACAAAGCTTGGATGCTAATTGAAAGCAGCAAAAGCTCGAGGGCGAAGGGAAATTTTCCCAAGGAAGTTCACAAGCGCAAACTTGCTTCAAAGAAGAGGGGAAACCTTTCCCATAATTTTTTCTTAACGAGTTCTTTGATTCAAGCAAGAGCAACCGAGTTCGGAATAGCCATTCTGCTGGGTCTCTCTCGGAAAAACACGTGCACGTTAAATTTCACCGGTTTGCGTAACGCCCACGAGAGGGGAATCTGTTCTGAAAATATCTGTTCTAAAAAAAGGTAGAGAGGAAGAGAAAATGAATAAAAAATGCAAAATATGAAATTTCGAGTCCGACGTGACGTAAAACGATGCAAACTCGCGTCGCCTACGGCGACATCGCACAAAGCAACGCGGTCGTGGGTGCCGGACAGATTAACTTCTCAACGGAGCAGCGAAGATACCCGACAATCCCGCGGGAACGAGATACGAAACGGGCGATAAAACCTGGGAATCGCCGAATTCGGGAAATCGGGCCAACTCCGACGGACAGCAGCTGGCAAAAGCTTCGGCGGCGGTTCATCCAAACGATCTCTCCCCAGTTCCGGGGTTATTTTTTTCGAGCGGCTGCTATCAGACAAACGGACGAGCGAGCTTTGCGACTCCGCGAACGCGCGCACGCACACACACACACACACGGTCGGCCCGGAAGCCATCCTTTACGTTTCCCCGGCGATTCAATTTAACCGCGACCAGGCGAACGGCCGAACCGACGGGGGGGCGCCCACGAGTTGTCGAAGTAGATTGGATCTTATTGAATCCAGAACTGTCCTGCCGGAAGGATGGAGCGTCGTCGTCCTCTCTACATTTGATGGAGACGAGCTTGTCTCGTCCCGTATAAAACAGCGCGCTCACGTCGCTTGCCTGGTATTGGATTACGACGACGGCCGCGGCAACGGTCAGACGGACGACGGCGTCCTCGAGTCAACACCTGTGCTGGCACCTCGACAGAACGGGGGACAACGGCCGCGCCGAACTTGCTCGCGAAAAGTTGGCGCGACCGTGCTATGAAGAAAGAGAAAGAGTGAGGTAGAGGGAGGGAGGGAGGGAAGGAGAGAGACAGAAAGCCCGATTTGATTGCCGGCGATCGAACACTCCTACGTCGTTCGCCGCGGATCAGTGCGCCGTCGTTCTCTTTTCGGGGATGGTAGGTCGAGCGAGAAAACGCGGAGCGAACGCGAAATCGAAGGATTCGAGATCGAGGGGTGAGCCATCACCGCCGCCACCGTCATCGTCATCACCATCTTCGCCGACGGTTCCCGTAAGGCGCGATTTACACGACGCTTTCTTTCGCCGGCGAGAACACGCTTGTCCGAGAACACTCGTGCGATGCAAGTCCTGAGAGTGCCCGAGCTGAAGTATCGTCACACTAAAGGGATGTTAGAGTCGAGGCAATATATTATTTTCTAAATTCTTTTATTTTTGTTAAAAACTACTTAAATTAAGACAGAAAAAAATTAATACTTTGTAACGAGTTAAGAATGGAAATAAATAGGTGCTTTTATGTGTGTGTGTAAAATTATTTATTACCTATTATTGTTTGTATTACATCTAAAAAGAAACTGTGTTATTTTACTTAATTATTTTACTTAAAAGAATAATGCATCGCCATAAATTTATTATTATAATATGTAACGATACGTAATTGAAAAGGTTATGAAAAAAAAAAAGAATGAGTTAAATTTTTTAATTAAATTCATAACTAAATTGGCTATATTTTTAACTAATATATTTAATTAATATAGTTATTCTTGATATATTTTTATATATAATTATATATTGTATTAATTATTCTTTCTCTATAATATTCATAATTAATATTCATAATATAAAGAATAATTTTACTTCGCATAAACAAAAAAATTTTTAACGGTATCCAAATCTTATAAATAATATTAATATATTTTATCCATTGAGTTCGACGTTATAAATTTTTTAGAATTACTTTCATAATATATCTCTTTTCCACAGAATTAATGCAAAAAGATACTACACATTCAATCACTGTTATAATAGTAACTGTTTCGTAGCATAAAAACAACAGTGATGTTTACACCAACATACACTTTAACCGTCCGATATTCATTACTTACAATTAATTACAGCACTGTTTGATAGACTAAGACACACATCTTACACATCTCTTTCTCGCATGATTTCGCTTAAAACATGGCGGAACCCCTTTGTTGACGTCACTCTGATTAGAGGTTTTTTAATGTAACTATTAAGATTGATCGATTCGATCTTAATTATTGATTAAGACACCGGAAGGGTTGATCATAGTCGCCATTAGACAGCGCGATTCATCAAGACGTAATTTTTAATCAAACTTCGGCGAACCCGTCGGGCAGGAAATAAAAGCGTAATTGCGAGCTACGCGTCATTTTTTATGTAGAAAATAAAGTAGGATGCAGCGTCTCGAAAAGTGAGGATACCTCGGCTTTACTGCCGCGAGTCAGTTTACGACATTCTAAGACACGAGATGTTACTTTAATGACTGCCGGCCTAGTGTTTCCCGAAATACTCCCGGGCAAAGTAAAGTTCATCGGCTTCGCGAAAACTTGCAAGCGAGGACATGCTTTTTGAATGAAAAAGAGAAGAAAAAAGAGGAAATAGAGGGAACAAGAAAGAATCCCGATATTATGCACGCTACTTTTCAGTGTCATATTCCATTCGGGCGAGCCGCGATGGTCTTTGATTTATGCGTCGTTAAACTCGGTTTCATAAGCTGACTCATTTGTTCGCCTTTCTCCCCTCCTTCCTCTTCTTGTTTCTGTTTATTTACGTGCCGCGCCGCACAACATCGCGCTGGAAAGCGCATATTTAACGGCTCCGCAATTTTTCATCGAATTCCCGGAGATTCCACGGTCAAATTAAATCGCAAGCTTGGCGCTTTCGCCGACGAAAGGAAGTATCGCGTAAGCTGCGCTTAAATCGACGATACAGAGGCACCGCAATTCATTCGGTTAATTCACGCGAGTGATCCAATAATGTTTCCTACAAGGCTGTTTTTCAGGGTGGAAACCGGTTGCCCGGCGCGTCTTCCCCCGGATATTGGAAGACTCTGGAAGTCGAATAACAATGAAAAGGATGCTTCCTACCGTCGACGGCAAAAAGTTACCGCAGTTACGGTTGACCGTCGGGATTGCACGGAGTTTGTTAACACACATAGGTACGCACACATACATACACCTGGCGTTCACGTTCGCATGCTGACGTGCGTATGATTAAAAAATCCAAGTGAGAGCAAACGAAGCAGGTGTCGAGATAGGGGACGTTATGAAAACACGAGAGATATTTCGTGTTTAATCAGAGAAAGAGAGAGAAAAGGGCGCAGCGAGATCGTACCGACGTATAATCGTTTCCGCAGACTGCTAGTTACATAATTCAATTATAGAGTAAAACGGATTTAGATGCACTGGAGCGAATCGTTAGTCATCGACGAATAATTACACACCGAATAGCCAGGTTAAAAGTGACACACGCAATGCAATCAACTTTTTTAATTAATAAAAAGTCACATGTTAATGAAAGCAACTTACGGAATTACCTGACGGATTTAAAAAATTTCAGCGGAATTAAAAGCCGTTATTTCGATGCTCGCGCGTTTATTAACATCGATTTTAAAGATATACTGCCCATTAGTGCCGTATTTTCGGTGGTGCATCACGGGGATCATTCATAAATTTAGTTTACCAAAATTACGTTCCTATGCACGGAGGAAATATTGTAGCAAAAATTATCACAAAATTTTGCTATAGTAATATTTTACCATACCGGAATTATGGCTGAAATTATGATGTGTCTTATAATCTTTAGATGTATACATAATATATATCATTAAAGATTACAACACATGATAATTTCAGTTATAATTCCGATATAGTCCAGCATTACAAAATTTTGTAATTTTTATAATTTGGTAATTTTTACTACAATATTTCTCCATGTATATTTATTTCATTACCTAAATAATAAATGTTAATTTGAAATGAAGTTGAGGAAGTATGTGTGTGTGTGTGTGTGTGTGTGTGCAACATTAAAAATACGAAAATATTATTTTTTATTTTCCTTATTAATGTTAGTTTTATGTATTAGTCGATCTAATAAAAATATATAGATAATAGAAAGCGATATATAAGTGTTTAAATATATATATATGTATATGTACTTCGAGTGTTACTCTAAGTTATGAATTTTACATCGCTGTATTATCAAAATAAAATGAGGAAAATTCGGAAATTTCTGTATAATATGTGCATGCTAATTTTTAATACTATAGTAGTTTTTCATTAAAAACTTACTTTTAGTTTAGAAGATATTAAAAATAGAAATTAAAAGTAGCATGCTATTTTAAGGAACACATATAAAAAGTATTAACTTTATTAATTTTAGTTACAAATATCTCAGCTTTCGAATGTTCAATCTTTTTCTAGTTGAACGAGCAACGAGTTCGATAATATTGTAATGTATACGCAGTGCAAATTTCATCGAATTCTTATCAAACTCATTTCACCTTACAATTTCCTTTACGGAAGAATAATCCAGGCTCTGAATTACCGTCAAACTTTTGGTGTCACTTTTAAACGCAATATAAATTAATTTGTAATTATTTTCCATAATTTTTTCGTTATTTTCAACTTTGGGTAATACATCCTTAAGTGGTTTATTTTTATTACACGCGGTCGACGCGTTTCGAGTGCTCGTGCCTCACATGGATCCCTCAGGGATCAACGATGAACGTAAGGTTTTCTCCCGTTGAAGACAGGGGGTAATATGAGAGATAGAAATTAATTTCTCTAATTATCTCCCTCAACCGGTTATTCAGTCGTCGGAGTACGTCTACTCTATTAAGGCCTGGAGTGTGTACCATTCATTTCGGGCTCGACGAAGGATATAGCGCGCTAAAGGCAACGGTACATGCGGTACATACACATATATGTATATCGGGTGGCTCACCGAAAATGGGATTCCCGCGATGCGTCGCCAGTCCGCCCAGGGTTAACACGTGCGAGTGATCCGCCGTTACCACGAGAAGCGTTTCCGTGAGATCGACCTCCTTCATAACCGCCTGGACGGCTTCCTCCAACGCCAGGGTCTCATCCAGCGCGCGATAAGCGTTGTTGTAATGGTGAGCGTGGTCGATTCTTCCACCTGAAGTGAAACGCCAACAGTTCGCGCTCGTGAGGCGCTCATGAATGCCATTTATTAAAGTTATCTTCGACTACTTCATAAGACGACGCGGTCTCGTGGTTGCACGGCGGCTGTTTTAAGACCTCCATAGCTTCCGGCCGCTCCGTCGCGTTTAATAAGTATCTCACACGTCTCCGTCTCGCGCGTCGCGTCGAACTTATTAAGATACCGCCTCGCATCGCTCGTGCGCGCGTGTACTCTTTCGAGCGCGTTTAAATTTTAATTTAAACATCTACGATCCACGCGAGCGATAAAATAACATTCTCTCTCTCCCCCTCCCTCTCCCTTCCCTCGTTTTATCTCTTCCCCCACAGTTCAGATAATTAAATTATAAATTAATCTGATTAAAATACCCCCGGAACCGCGTTCTTCCTCGATATTTTTCTTCATTTACCGAATGCAAGCACTCGTAAATTACAACTAACTTTCACTGATTTTACATCTGTATCATAGCGGAGGGGGAAAAAAAACGCGCAGGAAAAAATTATTCTTAAATCAAGATAGATATTCCCATGTATAAGCATATTATAATATTCTTCGAAGATTTTTAATCTCGAATTGAGTTCAAGTAATACTTGTGTCAATACAAATTCAATCTAATCGAGACTAAAAATCTCCTAAGATCATAATATTCTTACTTATACACGAGAATATCTATTCTTGATTTAAGATTAATTTGCTTTTTCTGTGCGTATAGCTGAATGTACAAAAGTTAATTCACCTCTGACATTTATTCCGCTATTAATATTCCGCTGTCTCATAATGAAGCGACTGTGTCTGTGTCAGAGCCGCCTCTCTCGTATCCGCGTTTACGCTTGTATAATGTTTGTCATTTGAGAGCCTCGTTAATAGTTCTGAATTGGATTTTAATCAGCGGTGTCAATCACAGACGAGATGTTGCTCGTTGCACGCGTAGTTACGACCTGCATTCCGCGAGAGCAGCGGTTCCCTCGTTATCGTATCAACAAAGTTAACGCGAATGGACTTAACTCGATCGTCGCGATAACTCTATCACGGCCGCGGCGCGCGCACGCGAGCATCGTTCTCAGGTAGTCCTGGCGGCGATGATTAAAAAACGGCCGATAAATTCCCGTACGGTACGCATACTATAATGCTGCAGAAACATGTAAATTACGATAACAGCGAATAACGGCGATGAAACCGTACCGATTTTGCGTTTTCCGGTCGCGCGAAGCCCATCATGCGAAATTCAACCGATTAAAACGATATTTGGACGAAATGAGCCGCTAATTAAACAGCGAAGAAGCACAGAAGTGCGTGTTATAAATTAATGTGCCGGCCGATCGGGTCGTAATTAAATCGTATCGTGTTATTGGAACACAATGCGGAAATCCAACGCAATTCCCGCGGAAGCGCGGAATGATTCGATTCAAGGAGATCGGGGTGAGCTCGGTTCTCAATGAAAGTACGGACGAGGTTAACGGAATTACAATCGCTGCACGGTCGGCCTTGGGCTATCGCTGGGCGGTTATCAGTACAGTTACGTACATAACGTAGACCAGAGGCTGTGTGTGTTTCAATCCATACAAATGCGCGGGTCAGTGCGTCGAATATACTGCTTGTGGTTGCGTCAACCATTATGCGGGACATAATTCCTACGGACCATTCGTCCCCCACGTGTATCAAATAGCGTTATCGATAGGCTTACCACTTCAAAAGCATCACATAACACATACATCTCACTATTAGCTCGTTAGATTCGCAACTTTCGTCTGATTGTTGCATCAGGCAATGACGATAATGCGACCGTGATAACAATGGCATACTTCGCGCGGGCACGTGCGCAAGTATCCGTCTCAACGGCGAAATTAATTGATACCGTACTTCGTCGAGCATGGGGCGACTTACGTGACAATTTCTGTAATTGCAACGCACAGTTGACGCGTAATAAATGTGTGCTATTATTCCCACCGGATTCCCTCGAGTGAAATTCTACGCGAGAAACGAGATGACAGCCGAATCATTTGAAACCGAGCGAGTACTTTTCGTACTAGGAATTTTACTCGTACACAGGATGAGGCAATAATTATTACCACCTTGGATATCTTCGGAACACGAGAGAGTAAAATACATTTGCTGCGTGGTGCAATATCCACTGCAATTATTAGCATGAGTACACCGAAAATTCCAGTGTGTTATTTTTACAGACGCATAAACGTCTGAAAGTAACATATTTGAATGAAGATCTTTTTACATGTTTCCTGCCGTTTTAGGTTACATCATTTAAGACGTTTAAGCGTGTTAAATTATACATTGACACGTCCAATTGTATTAAATGGCGTGATTTAATACGGCAAGAAATGCACAAGACTCAGCTGAAGTAACACAATTGAATTTGAAGTGTAGCTAAAGTTGGTTAGTTGTGCTACCTCTTTCTCTTTCTAGTTATAACACAATATAGACGATACAAAACACGTTTATATCAATCGAGGAAGTGACGTAGTACCTAAATTGATTGATTCACAATCCAGGAGTTCCAAGTTCGAGTCCATCAACGCTTAAGCACGTTTGCCGGATGCGATAGAGCATTAAATCAAGTAAACGGCTAAATTTCAGGCGCGTTCACCAGATACGATACAGCATTAAATCAAGTAAATGGCTAAATTTCAAGCAAAATCAGCATACACTAACTCCTTCAGGGCTACTATTGTTAAAAAGAAGCAATAAGTTTCTTAAGTTGAGAATACAAATACGATTTTAGTACTATTGTGCGACTTAGCTAATATTTTTCGCTGTAGCGCCTAAATTCAAACAGCTAATAAATTTAGCTGCGATACACTGCGAATTCAAGCGTATTATTTTAGCTGAGACTTCTCTCACACATTTCTTATCTATTTTAAATCACGTCATTTAATACGACTGGACGTGTCAGCTTATAAATCAACATGATGAAACAACGTCTTAAATAACGTAACCTAAAACGGCAAGAGACATGTGAAAAGAGCTTCAGTCAAACGTGTCACTTTTAGACACGTTTACGCGTGTAAAAGTAACATAACTTAGATTTGCAATGTAATTATTTCGAAAACACATTTTAGCTAAGTTTTGGCACCTATGGCGAATTTTTGCTCCGAGTGTAACGAACGTTTTCATTCGAGATTGAAAAGTGAATCTGATACACCCCACCGGCACTGGGACGAATTCACTGTGGTCGACTGCAACACACGCTATCGTATGGGTGAAGAATTCACTTGAAATTTGAATTAAACAAGCGCTCCTGTGATTCCGAGTGGCAGTATCTCCGTTATCGCTTCGGATGAATGTTCATTCGTTCCGAGTGAGATTTCACTTCAAAGAGAGCTTCAGAGATTGAAGAAGCAATTATTTCACCGCCCCCGTCACACTTAGGAACGCCGTCGAGATAGATCGTCCGAACTGATATTATAATCAGCATACCCCAAGCGTCGAAAGGAAATTTACCTCCGTATCTCCACGTACACATCTCCGCGTAGCCCAACATTTATTTTCCGCCGTTGCATAAGAAACCGGGCTATATTTCTTCGCGCGATACCTCGCTGCGAGGCCAGGCGGGCAAGGTGCGCCCCGCTTGTGGAAATGCAAGGGAACGCTAGGCGATGGCCGAGGCGCGTCATGGAAAGTTTACAATCATTAACCCTCGTCTAACAAAATTGGCTCGGATCCGACCGAAGCCATATTCTAATGCTTCCGTCGATCGCAATAAATACCGCAATGTACTTTATATTTCAGATATTTTACATATTTCACGATATATTTTCTTTGCTTTCAGACGTTTCCTAACTTACAGTAAGAATGAAGTGTCCGGTTGGGGAAATTACTTGAGACAATTACAAAATGCTTCCACCGGCCGGATCCGACCCACCTTACGTGAGACCGCGAGACGAGGGTCGAAAGTGCGCCGACGAAGGTGGTCGTAAGGAAGCCGCAATGAGATTAGACTGTATACATCGCGACCGCGGCGAAAGACGACGTTCAATGGCATTGCCTCGACGCTTAAGAACTGCATCGCTTGCACGTCCCGCGGACTGGCAGCATCGATCCTCTCGTTACGTGACTGTCGTGCACGTGCAGCCACGGATTCGCTCACTCGTTCGCTCACTCACTCGCTCGATCGAAGCTCGAGCGGCTTTATCCAATTGCCGTGTGCCGCAAGAACGAGACCCGGCTTTAGGTATCATCCTAAAAGGTTCAGCAGACCAGACGGCGCCACGTAGATAAACGTAACTGTTGTGTTTAACCCTCCCCTGCGCGCATCCGTGGAAGCCGCGCGCGAGGGCGAGTTCAAATCTACTCGGAGCTAACGTAGCACGCGTAATTCGCGGACCCGGTGGTCCCCGGTGCTCCTGGACAGGCCTCTAGCCGCGGCATTAAACGTACTACGTATGCTAAATAAGGTAGGGAAATATTTTTGCGGCGGGTAACCGGTGAAACCGCGACGGTGGACGGTGGATCTTCAAATGTGAACGCCGAGCGAGCGACGCTTGCATTTCTGAATTCCGTTTATCCGGCGGGAGCTAGCGGAGAACGACGCGACCCTTCAGGATATAATCCACGACATGACCGTCTTTTCACCTATTTTTCCATCTCGATGTCATTTTTACGAAATAATCCGAGCCGTGTGTGTGCGCTATGTGCGTACGTATGTGTCGTATGTTCGTTTTGTCTTCTCGCGTTCGATCGTAAAGCTTATCCATTTACGTCGCAGCACAGTTACAATCGCCGCTAAACTCGATCCGTTTCGTTCATTACTTTTGTCAACATCTCGCGAAATTGCACTGTTCGGGGGAGGGGGGCACGCGCCCCTTTAACACGACACCCCCTTTATACGTCGCGCCGGCCGTAAATAGCAAAGTAGTTTTGGTACGTATTTGAAGAAATCGAAAACAGCTATCGGGGAGCGCGGCTCCTCTTTCGTTGCTAGACTGTATGTCGCAAATTGTTGCCCTCGCTCGGATCGCCGG